CAAGAGGCTTCTGAAAAGGCAACATTTCAAAGCTGAGAGCTATGGCAGATCCCGTGATCTGTTCAGTCAAATGTGCTTCAGTATGGGAATGGGAATGCTCCCAATCTGGTTGACTCCTGGCATTAATGAAGGCACAAGGTGCCTGGGCCAATGTAGCAAACAGAGCCCTGCTGACCACGGGCAAGTCCCTTAGGCCGGGCCTCCACCCTCTCTTTAAAACCAGCGTTAGACTAGACTGGAGATCCTTCTGAACTCTCAATCCCAGGATTCCAAATCATTTACGGGCACTCAGGAAACAAAAGGATGCTGGGAACCCAATTTCTGTCCAAAAGTCTACACACTGGTAAGACCAGTTCCTTGGGCTCTCATTTCTCCACTCCACTAGGATGGCTGGTTTCCTTTCTCTATGTCAACATACCCAATCCCTTTTTCTGAGTCTCTGTTAAAATGCCTAACCTATCTGGTAGGGCTGTCTGGAGGCCCAAAGAAGATAACGGATGTGGTAGGCCAGGCTTCTGGCTTGGGCTCTGGCAGCTCTCCAGAAAGGTCGGTTAAGGTAGGGGCTATGGCGGGTGGCAGCCCTGCTCGACACATTCTTAGCCCCAAGTGGGAGGGAGGCAAGGAGGGGCTCGAGCAGCTGCTCAGAAAGCTGCTGGGGAAGGGGATGGTGGGAGAGGGCCCTGGCCACCACCCCCACCTCAGGAATGTTGTTTGCTTGGAGAAGGAGTTCAGCCTTGTTTCCATCAGCAGTATTCCAAACTCTTTGTGCTGATGTTTAGCAGATAAGAAAGCCAGACTGGGGAAAGGCAAGAGAGGAATTTAGCACCAGGGCTTCAAAAGTCTCTCCTCCAGTAAAAGACTATGCACAGACTTCCCATGACTCATCTCAGCCGAAGGCACATTTCCAGTTAACATCCATGACTAGAACGGGGAGCTCTCCACCTTCTCATATGACCACCAGCACGCTACTTCTCTTTCCTGAAGAGCGGCAGGTCCTCTTCCTTCCGTATGCACTGAAGCTTGTGTTATTACTCCTTACCCTTCTGTCTGCGCCCCTCACAGGCCGCTATGACTTTTTCCAGGCTGCTCTAGGACCAGAAGCCCAGTGTGATGGAGCCTCTTTTCTTCATTCTTCAGTGTGGGATTCAACACCCCTCTGTGACCTTACTTAAGTCCCTTCACTCCTGGACCTCCATCTCCTATCTGGAACATCAGGGCCTGGAATCTGAGGCTGTGTGATACAATCAAGACATTTATGGAGAACGCTGGATCTGGAGGGCAGAACCTGGGCCCGCCTCCGCTACTTAGACCTGGGTGACCACTGAGCAAGTCAAGTCCTGCTTCCCAGACCCCCAAGTTTCTTTACACAGAGAATGAAGGGGCTGGATATGATGGTCCCTTCATCATCCCTCCAGCTCCTCCAATCCTATGACTAAGCCACTTCCTGTGTGGATGGGCGTGGATGTGAGGAGGATGGGGGCAGGACAAGATAAGACTGAAATCCCAGGAATGCAGGGGGGTGAGGGCACTCTGGAGCAGAGGCTTCACTCACACCAGAAAGGCATCTTAGAGGTCACTTAAGCATATAGGTCATTGGTTCATTCGAAAACACTGATTACAGCCCCTAGGCTGAACTGGGCTGAGAGAGACATGGAGAGAAAAGGGTATGCCGTTCTACACACACACACACACACACACACACACACACACACACACACACCCCTCATAGCAGGCTTCTTTGTCAACCAGAAAGCAGGACACCAAAGGGCAGCAGTCCCAAGCCTAGCCAGGGGACAGCCCCAAGTTTCTAATTAGCACAAGTCAGTAATTTCCTAAGGTGCTTTTTCTCTGATAGAACTTGTCCATCCCCCTCCCAAAATGAAGCCAACAGCTTTGACCAACGTCCTCCAGAGTACAGCCCCAGAGGCAGAATTTCCGCTGACTGAATAAGTGACTTGACACTGAACATCTGACCTGTGCTTCTAGCTGGTGAGCTGTTTGAAGAATGGCCTCATACAAGCACCGCCCTCACCTGCCCAGCCTTGAGCTCTCCCAGAGTGGCCGGCTCTCTGCTCTGCCATTTGCTGCTGCAGGCTCTTCCTGCCTCTAACCCACTCTGACTCCTAGGAGCCAGCCTTCCTCCCCCTGCCCTGTGGTGTTGGAGCTTGGCCCACAAAACACTGCCCTGGCCCTCCTGGCCTCACTTCTTTCATCTGAAATTCTCTCAGTTTCTCGTTGATGGTAGGTAGAGCAAGGTTTCTCTGCTGGTCCCTTGGATTCATTTGGACTTGGAGAAACAACCTCCCATCATCCACATGGCTTTGTGTACTTCTTGCTCCTTACTGGTTTTGGGGGGGGGGAGGGGGGAAGCTGCAAAGAGTACATTCTTCCCTTAAACAAACCCCAGCAAACTGGAAAGAACAGACCACATCAGCCTACTCCTCCCACCCCCTCCTCCTGTATCATTTACCTTATATGGGTTGTCTCGGCTTACTAAGTTTTAAGGAATTTCAGCTGCAAAGTTACTATTTAACAGCCATACAGGGCTGTAGGTATTGCAGCACATTGTGTACACCTGGCCCAGACCGAATCCTTGTCCTTAGTCAGATGATATTTTAAGTAAATACACTGGCTTGAAAGGGGGAGAAGTCAGCTTTCAGACAAAGAAAGCAGATCATAAGATTAAGCTGAAAAGCACCTTGGAGATCACCAAAATCCAATTCTCTCACTGAGCAGCTAAACTCAGGCCCAGAGAGGTTATGCATAAGTAGCAGGTGCAGAATTCAAACCCAGAGCCTGTGACTCCAAACAGAAAACCCTGCTCTACATAACGTGAATGAGTGCCATCCCAGAGCCCACTCAATCCTTTCCCCCTAGTTCTGCTGAGAGAACGCTTTTTCTTTACTCAAGCATCTGAGTATAGTTTGCTGAAACCCACTGCAGAAAAATAACCATATTTAAGAGATTTAATTATATAGCAGCTGTCTCAACTGGAAAGTGCAGCCTATTGGTTTTTCTGAGTTGACATTAACATGGCTAAAATTTTAGCATGTGACCAAAGAACTGAAAGCAACTGCTAACAGCAAGGTCTGTCGTCTGTCCCTCCAGTCCATGGCCCATCAGGGCTTAAGTGGCTGGCTGGCTGGGGTTCTTCTCCCCAATCTGGGGGGTGGGGGGAGTGGAGAAGCTGCTTAGATCAAAAGCCACAAGGCCTCTCCCGATTCCTAGTCCAGGACAAGGTCAGCTGCCTGGTGATAGCTCTCCAGTCTTCCAGTAGGTCTGTGGCTCCAGGAAAAGGGGAAAAACCATTTAGCACAATGCCTGGCATACAATATTATCTCACTGAACTTGGTTAACACACTGCCTGTCACTCTGCCGTGGCAGCTTAGGTCCCACCATATTACTGACCATCTTGGTCTCCAAACAAAGCTCCTTTTATCTCACTCAGGGCTCTTCATGGTAGCCCTCGATGTGCACATAAGGCTCGTAATACCTGCACTATCTCCCTCTATTACCTATCACAGAGGGACAATTGGACTCAGGCTCTCCTCGGTCATCTGTTCTACGGCCTACTTGAAACACAAATTCTGTCTATCACATCCCAACAGATTCACTAACTGCCAGGGAGAGGCACCTCACCACAATCCATCTCACCAGGCACCCAGGGCAAGCCTCTGTCAGTTAAGGAGTTTTACCTTATGCTGAGCAGAAATCCACCCCCTGGTCAGTCCATAGTCTGCCCCCTGGGACTCAGCCAAACAAATCTCATACCTCTCACAGCTCATCTAAAGGCTCAGCCCCACAACAAGATGGCCTCCCCAGACTATCCCCAGAGGCTCTGTTCATTTTTCTCTCACCATTCTGGCCACCCTCTTCTGCCTGTGCTCTACTCATCACCGCCCTTTTAAAGGAGGGTGCCCCACACCAGCCTCCAGAGGTCCTCTGACACAGAGAATAGCAGCACTGTGGCTCCCCTGAAGGCCTGCCTGCCCAAGACCCCAGACGCATTCTCTGGCTGCTGCCATTAGTGCACAGCTACTAGTATCCATCCCTCGGTCTCTTCACATCAACTGTTCTCCAGTGACAAGGGTGGTGAGTAGCCCCTCTGAGGGGGGGACAAAACTGGGCCAGTACCAAGCACGACACTCCCCTCGTCTTATCTTCCTCGGACACGCGATAGAGCTCATTTCAAAAAAAATTTTTTTTAATTGAAAAGGCACAGGACCACGACATGAAACTAGTAGTCCTGGGCAACATGGCAGAGTAGGCAGGCATTGGACTGGAAGGCTGGAGCCAAAGGCTGAGTCCTGCCTTAGTTGTAATGACTTTGGGCAAGTCATTTTACCTTTCTGGGCCTCCCTTTCCTCTCCGAGTAGAGGCTGTTCCAGATCTAACAGGAGGAATTCTTCCAGTCTCAGATCAGCTCATGCTGCCACTGATTTCCTATGTTGTGACAGTCATCACTGTCCAACAGCCGGCTTGAGAGGTGCCTTGAGTCACATCCTGCCTTGCCTAAAATTCGATTTATTGCGAGCAGAACCAGGAGAACGTTGTACACAGTAACAGCCACATTGTATGATGATAAACTTCACCCTTCTCAGCAATGCAAGGATCTAAGACATCTCCAGAGGCCTCACGATGGAAAATGCTCTCCACATCCAGAGAAGGAACTATGGAGTCTGAATGCAGATCAAAGCACATTATTTGATATTTTTTCTTCTGTTGTGTTTTGTTTTCTCTTTCTTGTGGTTCCTCCTGTTGGTTCTAATTCTTCCTTACAACATCACTAATGTGAAAATATGTTTAATAGGAATGCACATATATAGCCTATATCTGACTGGGCGCCCTCTTAGAGAAGGAGGTGGGGAAAGAGGGGGAGAAAAATTTAAAGCTCAAAAGGTTATGAAAATGATTGTTGATAAATCAAAATAAATTAATAAAAAAACATTTAAAGCTCAAAAAGATAAAATAAAATAACATTTATTCCACTCCTTTCCTAGAATATCTGCAAGGAATTTCAACTGGAAATGTGGATCTTGCCACTAGCTGAGTCAGTGTGCCAACTCGGAGCTGTCTGGGCTTTCAGTGCTGGCTGGACACATGGGAAAGAATCATCAAAGTGCAAGAAAGGACCTTTGGTCATTCCATTAAACCTCATTTGGCAGAAAAGAAAATGGTGGGCCTAGGAGAGTAAGTGACTTGTCCAAGGTCATCGAGCTAGTCAGGCCAAGATGTTAATAGTATTCTTAAGCTATTTTTTTAAATGTATGAAGGGAGTGTATCTGCCCAACCACCCTTACAAGGCTGTTGGGCTGTGTGTGTGTGTGTGTGTGTGTGTGTGTGTGCGCGTGTGTGTGTGTGTGTGTGTGTGTGTGAGAAAGTGCCTTGTGACCATAATCCATTGTGTAAATATAAGAGGTTATTCTTACTTATTATCCCCTCTTGCTTTGTTATAATGATCCTCATGAAGGTGGAATATTCCAGTTTCTTCTTTTCACTTAGTTTCCACTTGGCCTGACTAGCTAGGAGGAGAAAGGAAATCCATTTGCAAATATGGGTGATATAAGAAAACAGCTTATGTGAAAAAGCCCTAGGGATTAATGGAACACTTTTAGACACTGACGTTGGGAGGGTAAGTGACTTCCTCCCAAGCTCACACAAATAGTCAAAGAGGTAGGTTTAGAATCCAGGCCTTCTGCCTCGTAATCCAATGTTCTTTCAATCACATACACACCGGGGCTTCTAACCAGGTTGATCAATGGTTATACCAGGATGGAAAAAGTAGCCACGTCTTTTCAATGGGGATAGCAGCTAGAAAACAAATCCTGCTTTAAACAAAATATTACAACGATAATTCCCCCACACCCAAAAAAAGTACACTGGAAGATGATAAATGTTTTGATGCTATACAGTTGCACAGACAATATGGACAATCCTCAGAGTTCAACAGTGAGACAGGACCGAAAGCAGACAATACAATCCTAGGAGAAAGCACCCTGGATTTGGGGCCAGAGCACCCAATTCCAATGCCCACTTTAGGCACGGGCCATCTGCAAGCTAGCCTCTCTTGTCCTCACTTCCCTCATCTATAAAATGAAGGGGATGGACTGAAAAAATCTCTACTGTCTGGCCCAGCTCCCAATGGAAGGTCTTAAGATCCTGTAACAGAAACACAAAGGCTTACACACAGACACAGACACACAGACATGCGCACAGGAGACAGCAATGGGGGAGGAACAGCAGACAACAGAGCAACAGGCCTAGAGCAGGGGTGGGGAACCTAGGTCCTCGGGGTGTGGTCTTTTGACTGAGTCCAAGTTTCAAAGAACAAATCCTTTTATTAAGGGGATTTGTTCTGTGGAATATGGAGTCAGTCAAAGGGCCAAATCTGAGGGCCTAAATCCAGCCTCAGACATTAACTAATGGCACCCTGGGCAAATCATTTAGCCTTTGCCTGCCTCAGTTTCTTCATCTGTAAAACAGGAATTATCAGTAGTATTTACTTCCCAGGGTTGTTGTGAGAACAAAATTCTGCATGTTTTAAGACAAAAAAACCCCAAAAACCTAAAGAAGGCTGAAGAAATCCTTGTTGGTTGAACACCAACTACACTAGGTTAGGTAACCAAATCACCAGGCAAGGGACCAACCTGTGGAAAACAGGGTCAGGTTTATAAACAAGCATGTAGTGGGAAGAGTACTAGCCTGAAGAACTGGGTTGGAATCTCCCCTTTCACAGTTATTAGTTATAAAGTAATCCTGAGTACGTCATTTCACCCATTTCCTCATTTATGAAATATTCTGAGGACAGCACTGTGTAAACTGCCATGGGTGAGCTGTTGCTGCTGCTGGCACTATTACCAAGAAGACACATGTAGCAATAAGCAGATGCTCCAAGTTTGCTTTCTGGTCAAGGTAAGTCTTGAAAAGAACACTCTCTAAATCAATCACTCTCAAGTATTCAAAGATCAGATGTGGAAAAGCCTCCTATCATTAGGGTCTCCCAGAGGCTTACAACCTCGGGTTGGCACAAGCCAAAGCTAAGATAAATTACAGACTGATTTGGGGTGTGGGGGGGGGGAGGCAGAGAAAGGGCACTTCTATTTGTCTGGGCTCCAATGTATTTACTGAACTATGAGGGGGAAAAAAGTCCAAAATTTGACTACTAGAAAGTTAGATTTAACTCACTAAGTTCATGCCCTTTGATTCCCCCTGAAGTTGAGGGAACATTTTGTCAGTGTTGGTATGTCAGCATCCCTGGGTTTGTGGACTAGTCTGACCATCACTTGCTGTGTGCAACCTTGGGCAGGTCACTTCCCTTCTAAAGGCCAATTTCCAGATCTGTAGAGCAAGGGTAGCTGGACTAAATGGTCATTATAGTCCTTTCCAGGTGTAACCTTCTGTGACTCAATTACCGTTTAGTCAGTGTATAAGATTCAGCCCAAAGAAGAGCCTGGAATGGTGAGAAAGGATGTCTTGGGTTTGACAGTAAATACCCACTGAATGCCAGCCTGTGCTCTCTAACTACAGAGGTATTACTTTTCAGCATAGATCGCAGGAAGAGAGTGTGTACACACACACATAGACTCTCACTCCAGAGGCCAGCCTCTGAATCAGGAAAGCCCCTAGGTTCTGAACACAAAGCTCAAGGCCAAGAAGACAGAGATACTGCTGCCTTGAACAGGTGGAGGGAATTTCCTTGCTGGGAGATCCCAACACCAAAGGAACAGTGGTTGCTATCTCTACCTCTCAATCTAAAAGTTACAGGACAAGAGCACAGAACCAGCATTCTCCCCCCAACCCCTTCATTGCTTTTCTTGAATCAGGATGTCCATTTTCAGGCATATCCAAATTTTGACTGGCTTGAAGGACAAAGGCAGGTCATTCCACCCTGGAGCACAACTTCACCTTTGGTTGTTTTACCACCTGCAAAGAATGATTTGTGGTCACCAACAGAATTATGTGTGGTTCTGAAGAGACCAAAGCAATGTCTGGAGCAGAGGGGAGGGCTTCACTAGAGGCTGAAAAGCAAAAACTTCACACTTAGATGAAAGCCACAGCAGGACAGGGAAGCCTTTAGGGAGGAAATGTCTCCATGTTTTAAAGCAAAGAGCTAAGGTTCGTATTTCAAAGGATCATAGATTCAGAGTGTGAAAAGACCTTGGCGGTCACTTCACCTAATTGCCTCACTGAGGCCCAGAAGTGAAGCAACTTGGCCATAGAGTCCATTATGAGCCAGCAATGTTTCAAGGATGATCTCAAGTGTCATTAAAAGCACTCTGCAATTTCTCAAAGACGATTCAAGGCCTTTCTCTCTCCTGTAAATTCGAGGCCATACTCATTGAATATTCCCAGTGTCTAGTCATCACTGATGCGATGGACCAGCTGTCCATCTTCTAAACAATGTTTTCCCAACGAGGATAGATATCTAAGAGTCACAGGAGTGCAGAGTCAAAGAATTCAAAGAAACAGTGAGGCACATCACGACCCACCACCCATAACCAAAAAGGAATTGTGCCCAAGAAACAAGGATGTTACCAGAAAGATGCATGACTGAAAAGAGAAAGCAAGTCAATGACGGGATAGTGGGAGGGATAATTTATGGACAAGCCACTTGTTCAACTGGTATCCCCACAATAAATAAGCAAAGCCCTGAGTATACTGGGAGGATACCTAGTAGAAAACTGATGGGATGACCTCGCCAAGAGTAAAATGGGATCAGAATAAGGAGATGTGGATGGGTTATAGCCGGCACCGGGTGAAAAAAGTTCCCACATCAATCAATAAGAATTGAGATGCACGTTAGTACCGGCAAAGTCTTGTGCTGGGTACTAGAGATAGATACAAAGAGGAAAATGTCCATCCCTGCCCTCTCAAAGCACACAATCTACTTCAGTGCAATGTGTTAATGTACAGTACAGGATTTTGGAGCTGGAAGGCAAGGGTTCAAATTCCATCTCAACCACTTCCTATCTATATTGACCTTGGTAGTCACTTCCTGCCTTAGGCCTCAGTGTATTCATCAAAAGTTATCAGGTAGGACTAGGTAATCTTGAAGGCCTCCCTAAGTCTTAACCCTATAGTCCTATGACCCACACCCAGGCTAAAGACATTCTCTCTCTTCTCCTTTTCTGTCCCTTTCCTCTACTTCTCTCCCCACCCCACTCTCTTTCATTCCCTCCAAGAGGGACCACTACTCTCATTCTGGCCTTTGGTGACACTATATTAAATGGAACAAGTCCTTATCAGATTGTCATGAACTGTGGTCAGGTAGGAAGACTTCTAACCACTGACAGTCTTGAATATCCCAGACAGGTCCAGGAGTACAAAAAGCATCTAATAATAATCCAGCTTTGACCTCTTCCTTTTAACCTTGATCAGTTAACCAAAACTCTAACCAAAACACAAGAAACTTCAAGCACTGGTTCACCCAAGGACAATTAAATAAGAAAAATAATTAGTGAGCCACTGCCTTCTCCACTGAGAGGCCTGCTGCTCCATCGGATCTTAGCTGTTGAATTACAGAAGGGTTCCACACTTCTTCCCTTTGGAAAGGAGGACAACTGTGCTGTGTTGCTCAGTGACTTGGTGAGGATTCAGAAGGAAGCCCAGATGAGATGGACAGACAGTAGCCAGTCAGAGGCGAGAGGACACCTCTCCTGGGGTCTCACCTCTTCAGTTAGCACCTCCACAATAAGGCAGTTCTCAATGGTTGCTGGGGACATCCCTATCACCTTCTCATAGCAGCAAATGGGAAACAGAAGGCGAGTGGCTGGGCTTTGTCCAAGGGAAAGCTCTCTGGGAAATGGTTTTCTAGCAGGGTGTCTGGCCTTGGAAGACTTGCCTCCCTCATGACTCCTAAAAGAGATGAGAAAGCTCAAGGCCCCTTAAATGTAAAGAGGCTGGCAAGGCCTCAGACCAGTCGCCTTGCTGGCTTGAACGCAAAGGTCTGTGCTTTATAGTGGGGCCCATAAAGTTAGTTAGGCTAAGTAAGGCGATGCACAGGGTCTGGGGGATAAGTTGCTAAACATCCCTCCTGCAGCACAATGAGGAAGCTGTATGGCCAAGAAAAGGGAAAAGGAAAGAAGAGGGGGGGCGGGGGAGAGACAGACAGATAGACAAATGGCTGTTCTAAAAGCCAGTTCTTGTGCACAGCAAGCTCCAGCTGGCTGCCACCCCACATCTGGGCTTGGAATCCAAATTTCAAGTTTACGATCAGAACCAATATTCCCTTGGGCAACTGTTGTTTTTCATTAGCACAGGCATAGGACATGCATCCTCAGAAGAACAAAAGTCCCCTCCAAGAGATGCTGTGACCACGTAAAAACTTCCAGAGGGGAGAACACATTCTTGGTAGCCACTGTAAAATCAAGACATAAATAAAGTCCTCCCCCTTACAGAGGCAGGACAAGTTTGGAAGGGGCAGCCCCCTGCTGCAAGAGGCCTTCTGGCCCATTGTTCTGCAGGGGCCCTCTGTGATGAGACAGATGGAACTCCAGTCATCTCCTAAGAGCAAGAAGAAATGGGAGGTGTGGGGATTTATGGAAGATGGGAGGGCTTCTGGGAAGTCAACTCTCATCATTCCTTCCCCACCTCCTAATTTGGAGTCCAGGGGACTTAAAAACCACTTTCATCTGGAGAGTGAAAAGGCTCTTCTCCACATGCAATGAAAATCAATTCCTTTATTAAGCATCTACCCTTATTTAATGTTTGAAGGTACACAAAATACTTTAGACACATAATTTCTCTCACAATAACTGTGGGGTAGGCAGCTCAACTTTCTTTCCTCATATGTTAAATGAGGATGAGCCAAAGATTTAA